TCTTATTTTCTTTAAAGCAGTTTGCATTGCACACCATACTCTTCCATAGCTGTTCTTCACCAACTTTTCTTCACTCCCACACAATTCAATCAAACCAATTATATTTGTACTCATTGCTCACTAACGCATTCCTCCTTCCATCCCATTTCGCAAATTAAGGAAGCAAGAGGAGAATTTGCAAAAAATCAAGGTTAGGGTTTCGAAAAGCAAATTGGGGGTTTTCGAAAACTCATCTATTCCAGCTCAATTCAAGGCATATTTAGACAGTACAAGGTTCAAGTAAGTGTTTCTCCCCCATTCTGCATTATGATTTGGAAAGGTGGAATCCATTGATTTGTTGTTTGTGGGAGTGTGGGTTGATTTGTATTGATTGTTGAAAAATTGGGGGAGATTAAGGTGAATTTTGTGAGAATGTTGAAGTTGTTTTTGTGATTGCTACTTGATTGAAGAAGGGCAGTGTCGTTTGTGGGAGTCTGGGTTGATTTGTGTTGATTGTTGAAAATTGGGAGAGATTATTTTGATTGAATCTGTGCGTAGTGTTGCTTGATTGACGAAGGGCAGTTGTTGTTTGTGGGAGTGTGCTGATTTTTCGTTGAGGATTGAGTGTAGTTTCACTGAGTGTTTGGATTGAGTTCGAAATAGTGATAATGGCACCCAAAAGAAAGCCCGGAAGTGATAGGAGAGAAAAAGGAAAAAGGCAAGCCTCCAGTGATACCAGGTTTGTTAGCCAAGCTGCTCAGGAAAGGTATGAAAATTTTGCAAAGCAACCGGGGCGATTTATTGAAGAACGAGGGTTGATGTTTACAGAAGCTTTTGAGGGAATAACTGATGTGATTCAAGCTCTGGGTTGGGAGAAATTTTGCAAAGAGCCCCCGGCGCCTGCTGTTGCCTCTGTGGTAAAGGAGTTCTATGCCAACGCTCCTGATAGCGTTGACGGGAGGACAATGGTAAGAGGTAAAGAGATCGTGTTTAATGCAGCTGCAATTAATGAATTTTATGGGCTGCCACAAGTTGAGTTCGATGACGATGCCTATGCCGCATTCAAGCAACAAGTGGATTTTGACGCAGTAATAAATTCTTTAACAGAAGGGAGAGCTACATGGTTTATTGTGGCTGGGGAACACATCCATTTTGAAAGTAAGTTCTTGGACTCAATTTCGCGCATGTGGTTATATTTTGTATACTCTCGATTGATGCCCTCCAAGCACATGAGTACTGTTAGTAAAGCTAGGGCGATCTTAATGTATGCTATCCGCCAGAAGATGAGGATGAATGTGGGTGAAATTATCTTTCAAGAGATTACCCATTCGGCAAAGCGTACCAAGATGGGATTTTATTTTCCTCACCTGATTATTGCATTATGTACGCAAGCGGAAGTGTCATTGAATGCTGAAGAAGTTTTTGTTCCGTAAGGAGTGTGTCTTACCGGGCAATTTATGCAAAATTTAACCAGTGGGGGCAGAGTAGACGTACCCAAGACCAAAGCATCTTCATCGTCGAAGCTTTCCCAAAAAGATCAATTGTTGAAGCTGAATGGAGACATCGAAAAGTTGAAACAGCAACAGAATCATCAAGAGGCCTGGATGACATGGATGAGTGGGCAAATGAGGGTGCAACATGAGATGCAAAGATTGCAACTTGCTCATGCTGGGATAGTGGCACCGGGGTGTGAATGGACTGATTTTGTGTACTTGGCGGATGAGGAGCATGGTGATGCTCCTGATGAGGATTCTGAGGAGAGCATGGAGGAGTAGATTTTAGTTAATGTTGTCAATGCAGTTTGTTTTGGTCGCTTTTATTTTTTTGTTTGATGTACTTTTATTTTGTCTACTGTGTGTTCTTTGAGTCTTTGTGAACTGTTAGTCTATTTTGCTTTATTGTTTTGTTTTTCTTTGTTCATGCTCTTTTTATCCACTCTTGTATTCTGCATAACTATGATGGCCGACACAGTCTGTTTAGTGGTTTTTCTGTTTTGATAGAACGACTGGTGTATACGATTGGACGGCTTTATTTTGTTGACGAATGTGGTAACGTTGTCTTTCTTTTACTATTACGCTTAACATTGGGGACAATGTTGATTTTATTGGTTGGGGGTAGAAATTTAAGAAACTTAAATTGAGCAGAATTTGTTTTTGTATGGATTTAGAGAGCATTTATATTTATTCTTTCATTTTAGGTTGTGAGTTTTATTTTTGTCTCTTGGATGAAGTCATATGTCTATGATAGGAATGTGATTGCAATAACATAGAACTAATGGAGGACATTAATTTTTACCTTTGCTTACACATGTGTGTGAATATTAATGATATGAAGTTGAGACCCTAGTGAACTATGGATTGAAAGTGGTTCAGTCACCTACTTATAGACGTGTTATGTATGAAGTTTCCATGAACTTTATTGTGATTTCAACAAACTCTAGAACTCATTTGATAATCACTCAAGGCGAAATCCTAGAATTCACATCACTTAGGAAATGACTTAGGCTGTTTTTGGACCGATTGAGCCTTTCAAGCCAACCCTTGTTTTTGTCATCGCTAGTTAGCCCTTTGAGCCTTTTTTAACACAATTTAGCCTTGTTTTTCGTTCTTTGAACTTAATGTTTACCCTATCCTGATTTTGAGCCTAAAACACAATCCTATCCATTTTATCATTAAGAGACTTTATTGTTCTTCAAGCTTATTACGAGAGTTGGTAAGAAAGTGTGGTTGTCACAACCCACGTGTGCGAAGAAATTGGTTGGGGGTTTTGGAGTGTTTGTAAAATCAGTGGGTGTGTGCATGTGTGCATGTTTCAGCCTTCTTATTTTTATTATGTTGAAAAAAAAAAAAAAAAAAACATTTTGCCTAGTTTAAGGGTATTTCGGTTGGAAACCAAAACTCGCCTTAAAAACTGCCTAGCAGTACTTGGCGACCTCTGGTATAACAACGCCATGTACACCTTAGACGCATCTCCCCCGCCCCAATTATGGTATCAAAAATAAGAAAGATACAAGTTTGAGGGTTGTAAATTAGTGGACATATTGGTTGGTGGTTGAGAAGAAGTGGAGTTCGATTTGATTTTAGAGTTTGCATGAGGAAAACCAAGTTCTCTTACTTTGTTATTCCTATCATTTTCTTGGAACCCATACCCTGGCCTAAAGTTATAACCTTTACAAAGACCTATTGATCCAAGGTAATGTGAAATTCTACATTAGCGGAGAGTGATGTGAAAAGTGAGCCTATGGAGTTTGATTCCATGATTCACATATAAGTCATAACCCGAATACTGAGATCAAAATTTTGTTCATGAATGTTGTGCATAACACCATCCGAGTTTGTAGACTAATGGTTTGTGGTTGTATGGATGTTCTAGGGTCGATAACGAAAATGAAATTGATGTTTGCATTGTCTGTGAGTTTTAGGTGATTTTTAATTAATCTATTTATTTTGTGTATATGCAATTTTTGAGATATCTTTATGGATTGATCCAAGACTTTTTGGTTAGTGTGTTCTTTTTATGTTTATGTTTTTTGTTACTTTTGGAGTTTAGGATAAGTTTAGTGTGGATGTTTGTGGGTATCATCGCTGGAAACCCTCACGAGACTACAACTCGTCCAACTAGGGCCATTTAGGGGTTTAAAGGTTTATTGCATATGCTAAATGCAATCGTGTCAATCTACGAAAGTGATTTAGGATAGTTTAGATTTAGGTTTTTAATTAGTTGTTTTCTTGTCAAGCTTAGAGACTTATTTTATCGCTTATTTTGCTAGGGACTAGCAAAAAGTTGGTTGAGGGTTGTGATAAGAGCTTGAATGTTTATATTTTGTTAGTGATTTAATTGGCTTATTTATGGAAAATTGTGTTTAAAGTGTGGAATTTGGATTATTTCTTTCATAAATACCATTCATGGGATCGCGGGTGCATGTTGAGTGTTTTCAGGCTCAAACAGGTTGTTGAAGGGAAAAGAATGATGTCGATAGGATTCACGACGCGTAGGAACAAATGGCACAAGAATCAGGGTCAAAATGAGGGAGTTGTGGCACGTCGAAGATGTTACTGAAAATCTGGAAATTCTTCATCATGAGTATCCCTCGATGTTTCTATCATAACTTGAGCTGTAGAAGTCAGAATTTGATGATTCTAGTGGCGTTGGAAAGCTTATTCAGAGAGCTACAATGTTTGTGTTGATGACTTCATATAATTCTGAATATTACAGATACTTTGGACAGAAAGAACGATCATCGCGGTGACCATTCTTACCGCCGCAGCAATGGGTCACGGGTTTGTGTTAAGTCATTACCCTAATCCGAATCTGAATGGGCTAAGTTTTCTAATCTTTTTCCTAAGCAAGTCCAAGAACCCCAAAGATATAAAAGAGAGTTTTTAAGAAATTAAGGTGACTTTTTGGAGAAAAAGGAGAGGACGGCTACCAAATTGGAGATCAGGATCCTGAAAGCTTTCGTTCACCGATTAGAGAAGTTTTTATCTTTTTCTTGAACTGATGTCATTGAAGAGAATGATGGATTTTGTTATTTTCATGATGAACTAATTCTCTTTTCTAGGGCTACAGATGTAGCCCAATTTATGAATATGTGTTGACTTGGATTGTTGTTAATTCTTATTGAGCTGTTAATTCTAAGTTTTATTATTGTGCATAATGCTTTCAATTCTCAAGGGCCAAGAGTTGAATGATATCAGGGGTCAGGTTGAAATCGAGAGATGAGACCTGATTTGTCTTAGGTAATAAAACCATAGATTGAGCGAACGCTAGAGATAGGTTACCGCGATCTGTGAGGCTCCGGTAAATTCCATAGAGCTTAATGATCTCTTAGCTCCTAAATCCAACTTAGAGATATCTTGGGTTGTTGCTTAAGGGTTAATTTGCTAATTGCTCGAGAGAGAGTTAGTGGAATCATAGGGGATTTGGCTTTTAGAATACGCTTGATTAGGTTAACAACATATGTCAATGCATAGGATTAAATTGGTGCGAAATCTATGCCCTAGGTTTAGTCATATTGATCTTTACATCAAAGCGTTTACAAATTCTGCATTTATTTAGTTTTTAGTTTGTTACTTTATCATTAAAGCTTTTCTTAAAATTCTGTTTTATCAAATAGCAATAGAATATACTAGTTTGGTACTTGGTAGGTAGTTCCCTTGGGATTCGACACTCGTTTACTCGAGCTTTATTACTTGCACGATTTCGTACACTTGCGAATAGCCTGTCATAAAATAGCTCAAGTCTAGTGTCATATGATGTGTGCACCCACTGTCAATTAGCCATGTATCATCACAGGTTTGGACCAGATTTGATGAGGCCACAAACAGCTGTTCTGTCTCCTGCACTGGCTGTTGTTCATCAACTATTTGAGATTGCTGTTGGGACTGCTCTCCCTTGTTTTTGCACACTCTTTCAACATGGCCAAACTGCTTGCAGGCCCTACACTTTATACCTGGTCTGAACCAGCATTTGTACTCTGCATGTCCCTTTCTTTTGCAATGAGAATAGGCCGGAAAACTCTTCATCCCACCTGTTTTGTTCCACTGGTTATTAGCCCTTTCTTTTCCTCTTTTTTCTCCAACAAACTTCCTGCAGTTCCCTTGTCCATTCTTACCTTTATAGGTTGCTAACATTGCCCCTTCATTTGCATCCTCAAGCCTTAGGAGCCTTCTTTGCTCTTGCGCCTGCAGAGCATGGACTAGCTCAATCAATGTGATCTGAGTCAGGTCCTTTGAGTCCTCCAAGGATGAGATCTTGGCTTCAAACCTTTCCGGCAAGCTTACCACTACCTTCTCCACTATTCTGCTGTCCAACATTTCCACCCTAAGTAATCTGATCTTGTTGACAATGTTCATCAACCTATCAACATATTCTTTTACTTTCTCAGCCTCTTGCATCCTTAAGGTTTTGAACTCCCTTCTCAAATTCAAAACCTGCATATTTCTTGTAGTATCACTTCCAATGAACTCTTCCCTCAACTTGTCCCATGATTCCTTGGCTGTTTCGCATGCCATAATCCTTGCGAAAACAAGGTCTGTGACAGTTGAGTGGATATGAGATCCTCTTCATGCATTCTAATTTGGTTGAGAGTGGGATTTGGTCCCAGCTGAAGGGGTTGTCTCTCTTCCTCTACATACTGCCAGAGTCCTTGGCCCTTCAAGTAAGCCTTCATTTTGACTGACCAAATATGGTAGTGTTCACCATTGAACACAGGAGGTAGAAAGGAAGCTGTTGGAGTAGTCATTTGTTCAAGAGAAACCAGGTCTGATGCAATGCAGTTTCCCGGAGAGCTGGATGAGTTGTCTTGGAGAAGAAATGTTCAGTTTTTGGTTGGGATCAACGAAGCTCTGATACCATGTTGTTGTTTTGGACTGGAGTTTAGCTAAGAAAAGAAAAATTACTCAACTGAATGAAGAAGGATGATTATCTGCATTACCAAAATATGTTTCTATTACAGCAAAGTTTTACACTGACTTGCACCTACTTTGCAGACATATAATAATTTAAATTAATCTAAAGCCACAAACTTATATCAACTAACAACTACTGCATCAGAACATCCCTTACAATCTGGAATGTATATCACACTTTTACAAAATGAGCTAAAACTACAACATATCAAATAAACCCCTGGCAGACTTTAGTTCAGATTTTGCCACCATCATACATACAAAAACTTTAACTAAACTGCTGCATTTCCAGCCATGCATCAACGTTCAACGGTTACAAAATAAGCAGAACTTTGCAACATATCCAATGGACCCCCAATAGATTGCCTTTTAGTTTTGCCACCAACACATATTCAAAAACATTAACTAAACTATTGCATTTCCAGCCAAGTGTCAATGTTCAACACTCCTCCTTGATGGTTGGCTAGAAACACCAAGTCTGAATCTGAATTCTTCAAACTTGGCTTTGGAGACAGCTTTGGTCATGATGTCAGCCACTTGTGATTCACTCCTACAATGCGCCAGTTTCACTTCACCATTTTGCTCAACCTCTCTCACTGCATCGAACTTTATTTTTATGTGCTTTTTACGTTCATGTTGCACAGGATTCTTAGCCATAGCTATTGTGAATTGATTGTCACACATGATGGCAGTAGCTTTGTTCTGTTTCAGCTTCAAATCATCAAGGAATTTTCTCAACCAAATGGCTTGATTCACAGCTGAAGCAAATATATACTCTGCTTCAGCTGTGGATTGAGCCACAGTTTCCTGCTTCCTAGAAAGCCAGCAGATATCACCATGATTCAGGAAAAATGCAAATCCTGAAGTGCTCCTCATATCATCTGTCGAACCAGCCTAATCGCTGTCCGAATAACCAACTAAATTGAAGTCTTCTGATCTCTTGAACCACACGCCATAGTCGGTGCTTCCTTTTACATACCTCAGCACCTTTTTTGCTGTCTTGAAGTGTGTTTCAGTTGGTTCACTCATGAACCTGGATAGCAAACTGGTTGCATACATCAAATCTGGTCTAGTTGCTATCAAATATAGCAATCCTTCATCAACCTTCTCACCATCCTCATCCTTTGACAGCTTCAAGTTTGGAACCAAAGGCAAATTCATTGGTTTACAGTTTTCCATGCAGAATTTTTTTAAAACTTCAGTTGCATACCTTTTTTGGTTTACAAAAATCCCATCCACATGTTGATCAATCTCCATTCCAAGAAAGTAAGACAGTCCACCCAAGTCAGTCATTTCAAACGCACTTTGCATGGATTTCTTGAATCCATCCACTTGAGTTTGATTGCTTCCAATAACTAGAAGATCATCCACATACAGAGAAATAATCATCAAGTCATCTTCAGCTTCTCCAATGTAAAGAGTGTATTCGTTTGGACTCCTAACAAAGTCCAAGTTCAGCAGGTGGTCATTAATCCTGCTATACCAGGCCCTTGGTGCCTGTTTTAGGCCATACAAGGCCTTCTTCAGCGAATAAACCTTTCCCTCTTCTCTTTGGATCACATACCCTTCAGGTTGTTCAATGTATATTTCTTCATTTAACCAGCCATTCAAGAAGGCAGGTTTTACATCCATTTGGTACACTTTCCAGGAGAATTGAGCAGCCACTACAAGTAGTAACCTGATGGTGTCATGCCAGGCAACAGGAGCAAAATTTTCCAGGAAATCCACTCCAAACTGCTGAGCAAATCCCTTGACTACAAGCCTGGCCTTATGCCTCATAATTGACCCATCCAAATTCAGTTTTTTTTCTGAAAATCCATTTCACCTTAATGACTTTCTTGATTTCTGGTCTATCCACTAGCTTCCAGGTTTGGTTTTTCTCAATCATGGCAAGCTCTTCCTTTATGGCACTCCTCCAGGATTCTGATTGTGCAGCCTCTAAATAACTTGTAGGTTCTATTTGAGCTAAGTTGTACCTGTCATACACATTAGCTAGTGTCTGGTTCCCTGACAGCCACTTCTTCTTCTTATTCCTCTCCCGAATCTTCTTCAATTTGATTAGTTTGTACCTCATTCAGTTGGGGTTAAGTATTTACATCAGCTCTGCCTTTTTCCCAGTTCCAAACTCCTTTCTCATCAACCTTAACATCCCTAGACACCACCACTTCCCTTGAGTCAGGAATATAAATCCTATAGGCTTTGGATTCGCTGCTGTAGCCAATAAATATTCCAGTCACAGCCTTATCCTCCAGCTTAGTCCTCTTGCTTCCAAAAATCTTCAGTTCATCTACTGTTGGTCTGACTCCAGTCCAAGCTTCAAAATGGGTTTGATTTTTCAAGGCTTTGGTGGGAATTCTGTTGAGCAGGTAGACACTTGTGTTTGCTGCTTCTGCCCAAAATGTTTTGGGAAGATGTTTCTCAGCCATTAAGCACTTTGCCATTTCCATGACTATCCTGTTTCTCCTCTCACAAACTCCATTCTATTATGGAGTGTATGGGCTGCTGAATTCATGCCTTATTCCAGCTTCTGTGCAGATTTTTTCAAACTCTTGAGAAGTGTATTCAGTGCCATTATCACTTCTCAAGGTTTTGATGGATTTTTCTGTCAAGTTTTCTACTCCTAGTTTGAATTTTCTAAATATTCCAGCCACCTCATTTTTCTGCCTTAGGAAGTAAATCCATCCCATCCTAGGCCAATCATCTATGAACAATACAAAGTACCTGCTCCCATTGAGTGATAAGGTTTGCATGGGGCCATATACATCCGAGTGAACAAGCTGGAGTTCTTCAGAGGCTCTCCAAGCTTGATTCACTGGAAAGGGTTTCCTACTCATCTTACCTAACTGACACACTTTGCATACACTACTCGGTTGCTCAACAATAGGCAGATTTTGAACTAGATTTTTAGATTGCATTTCACTCAAATTTCTATAGTGTACATGGCCTAATCTCTTGTGCCACATTTCAGTTTCATCCTCTCTAGTATTACAAGCTTTGTGTGGTGTGACTCTCCACATAATTGGAAAGCTTTTCCCTATCATTTTCACCCTCATAATCTCATTTCCTTCACTGTCTTGAATAATGTAGGATTGTTTTTGAAAATGCAATGCATAATTAATCCTTTTCTAACATTTGTCCCACACTCAAAAGGCTTTGACTTATGTTAGGTGCATAAAGTACATTTGAGATTAGTTTTGTACCTCTTTGAGTTTGAATTGCAACATCTCCCTTGCCTCTTGCTTCCACACAATCTCCATTCTCAACTTTGATCTTTGACCGATGAGAGTGATCTTATTTACAAAGCGGCTCAAATCTGGTGTCATATGACGTGTGCACCCATTGTTAATCAGCCATGTATCATCACAAGTTTGGACCAGATTTGATAAGGCCATAAACGGCTGTTCTGTCTCCTGCGCTGGCTGTTGTTCATCAGCTGTTGAGCTTGCTGTTGGGACTGCTCTCCCTTGTTTTTGCACACTCTTTCAACATGGCCAAACTGTTTGTAGGCCCTACACTGTATACCAGGTTTGAACCAGCATTTGTGCTCTGCATGTCCCTTCCTTTTGCAACGAGAACAGGCTAGAAAACTCTTCATCCCACTAGTTTTGCGCCACTAGTTATTAGCCCTTTCTTTTCCTCTCTTTTCTCCAGTAAACTTCCTGTAATTCCCTTGTACTGTTTGCCCTTATAGGTTGCCAGCATTGCCCCTTCATTTGCATCCTATAGCCTTAGGAGCTTTCTTTGCTCTTGCGCCTATAGAGCATGGACCAGCTTAGTCAATGTGATCTGAGTCAGGTCCTTTGAGTCCCCCAAGGATGAAATCTTGGCTTCAAACCTTTCTGGCAAGCTTACCACTACCTTCTCCACTATTCTGCTGTCCAACATTTCCACCCCAAGTAATCTGATCTTGTTGACAATGTTCATTAACCTATCAACATATTCTTTTACCTTCTCCACCTCTTGCATCCTTAAGGTTTCGAACTCCCTTCTCAAATTCAAAACCTGCATATTTCTTGCAGTGTCACTTCCCAAGAACTCTTCCCTCAACTTGTCCCATGATTCCTTGGCTGTTTAACATGCCATAATCCTTGTGAAAACAAGGTCTGTGACAGCTGAGTGGATGTGGGACAAGGCTCTTGGAGCCTTTGATGCTTCCTCTTCATGCATTCGAATTTGGTTGAGAGTGGGATTTGGTCCCAGCTGAGGGGGTTTTCTCTCTTCCTCTACATACTGCTAGAGTCCTTGGCCCCTCAGGTAAGCTTTCATTTTAACGGACCATATATGATAGTGTTCACCGTTGAACACAGGAGGTAGAAGGGAAGCTGTTGGAGTGGTCATTTGTTCAAAAGAAAACAGGTCTGATGCAAGGCAGTTTCCCGGAAAGCTGGATGAGTTGTTTGGAGAATAAATGTTTAGATTTTTTTTTTTGGTTTGAATCAATGAAGCTCTAATACCATGTTATTGTTTTGCACCAGAGATAACAAAGAAAAGAAAGAGAGCTTGATCGGTGGCAAAGAAAAGTTTTTCTTGCTGTTTTGTTATATACAAAATGAGTTTACACTTCAACTAATAAAGCTGACGTTACACTGTTACACCAAACATGCAGACTTATAATAACCTGATTTAATCTAAAGTTACTGACTTAATACCAACTAAACAACAACTATGCAGCACATCCCTTATAATCTGGGAGTACATATCAAGCATTACAAAATAAGCAGAACTTTGTAGCACATCAAATGGACCCCTGGCAGATTGCCTTTCAATTTTGCCGCCAACACACATTCAAAAACATTAACTAAACTGTTGCATTTCCAGCCAAGTGTCAATGTTCAACAGCTTCTGCTCGGTATAATTCCTAGGCTGTAATCAATTCCTGTTTGTATTGCACTGACTATGATTAAATGCCTCAGTTAACTCTCTTTACTTTGCTGTTGGGTTTTCAGTGGTGGTTCCAGTGGTTCTTATTTGTAGATTTATTGTTGCTCAAATAGTTTTAGTTGTGTACCTCATCTTCAAATATAGAACAAGAAGGAAGAAGGTTGATACTGTTGAGAAATTTCTGCACAATCAGCAATCCTGGAGGCCAAAAAGGTACACTTACCCAGAGCTCATGGCCGTGACAAACAATTTTAAAGAAAAACTAGGCCAAGGTGGCTTTGGATCAATTTACAAAGGAATACTTCATAGTGGTTCTTTAATTGCCGTTAAAGTTCTAGAAAATTCCAAGTTTAGTACAGAAGAATTCATCAATGAAGTCTCTACAATTGGTAGAATTCACCATATCAATGTGGTACATTTAGTTGGATTCTGTTCAGAAGGATCTAAACATGCTCTTGTGTACGAGTATATGCCAAATGGATCTCTTGATAAACATATATTTTCCAAGGCAGGCAGATCTCTATCATTTAGTTGGGACAAACTATATGAAATTGCTCTTGCAACTGCTCGTGGGATTGAGTATCTGCATAAGGGACATGATGTGTGCATTCTTCATTTTGACATTAAGCCACACAACATCTTGCTGGACCAAAATTTCATCCCAAAAGTCTCTGATTTTGGACTTGCAAAATTTTATCCAAAGGAAAATGATTTTGTGACTGTTAGTGCTACAAGAGGAACAATAGGATACATAGCTCCTGAATTGATTTCAAGGAATTTTGGAACAGTTTCTAGCAAGTCAGATGTTTATAGCTTTGGAATGCTACTGTTGGAAATGGTTGGAGGTAGAAGAAATTCTGATATGAAGGCAGCTGGCTCAGGCAAAGCATACTTCCCCTCATGGGTATATGACCAAATAGATACTGGAGGAGATTTAGAGCTCCAAGAGCATGAAGTCGTGATTGCAAAAAAACTTTGTCTGATTGGTTTATGGTGCATACAAGTGAAGCCTTCAGATCGTCCCTCAATTACAAAAGTTATTGAAATGTTAGAAGGGAGCATTGACAACTTGCAATTGCCTGCTAAGCCTCTCTTTTCTTCTTCAGAGGATGTCTCTATAAGAATGATTCAATCAGACTATTCAACCGGGTGGCTATTATCTAAATCAATGGAAGAGTATTCATACAACAGTACTGATTCATAATAAGTTTCTTTTTGCCAAATGTAATCGTATAGAAGTGAATATATATTCAACGATACTCAATAATTGTAATTATGTGAAAAGCAATTGCTTATGAGCTTTGAAATGATCAAAATGTTTTTGTTGACTATCCATAGTCTTTGATAACAAATACTGTATTCTAACATGATCCATTATTGTCCTCATCGCTGTCACTGAGGTTAGAGCTTACCTCATTGCGGGCAATGAGAGGTGAGACCTAATTATAACAGAAATGGTGGGCATAAGAAAAAGGAGGAAGACGAGGTGAGATCTAATACTTTTTATTATAAAAATATGGAAATATAAATAATAGAAGCTACCAATAATAGAAGCTAAGGTCAACTTTGGCTTCCCGGACCCCGCACCAGCTGGTGGTCTTTGCCATTCCAAATGAGACTGCTACTATCTTGTAGCTGGGGGTCTAAACCATATTTTTAAAATGGCGTTTGTCACAAAACTCAAAGGAGACTTCTTTTATTTAACCCTTTTTATTAAACCAAGACAGGCCAGCCAAGCACACTACTTATTCTGTTTCCCTTCATGTCTCTTGTGCCGTTTATTATCTTCTTCCTTCTCTTGCCTTACTCAATAGCCCAAAACACTTCAGTTGTAAGCAGTGATGAAAATATATATGAATTCTGTCAGCCAACAAATTGCAGCGAAAACGGGCCACAAATCAGATTTCCCTTTTGGCTCAAAACTCAACCAATGTCTTGCGGCCTTGAAGGGTTTGAAGTGTCATGCTCAAGTAACAAGACAATGTTGCATCTTCCTTTTTACAGCGGTTACTATGTGGAAGACATTTCTTATCTGGACAGAAGTATAACCATTACGGATATGAATGACACCACATGCCGAATACAGAGTCTTCTCTCTCTTGACCTCACAGACTCCAAATTCTCCCTCCTTTATAGTTACTACAATCAGATGTACGCTTTGTGGAATTGTTCTCCCTCACAGACAATGTTTATGGCATGACATATGACCGGTCAGTCGACTCGAGGCCCCCAGTTTGCAGTTTGTATAAAACTGTTAACATTTCATTTGAGTTTTGGTATCAAAATAATCAAACTAAAAAGATAGTTATAGAATGGGAAGCTCTTGATGGATGCTACGACTGCGAAAAATCAGGGAACTATTGTGGCTTCAACACTATAAGCAATTCAACGATCTGTGTCATAAACCAACGTAAGTCACCATTTAGCTTTCTGAAAGTAAAGTGAAATTACTTAATTCTTTCCAAATTTATACATGATATGATATTTTCGTTTAGTAATATGTCTCTCTGCTTTTGATTATTTGCAGTATGTTTTCCGGCACTCTTGATTGTATTTGTAGGTAGCTTACTAATAAGTTTTAAAGTCTTTTCTGTAGCTGATTAATCAGGATAAATATTTGTTGTTAGTAAAGAGAATTCCGGGGCTCTTGATTGTACATTAGACTCCCGAAGAAATTTATGAGAAAATTCTCTTTTCTATTCATCTTCTAGCTGTACATTAAGGATGTGAATCCTGCTTGCTTCAAGCCCCCTCCATATTTTCCATATTTTGGTTTGAAATTTGGGATGTATCTAATTGATCTTATTGCTCAACCAAGTTAAGAATTTTTCTTTGGTCATGCAGATTATCATGGTCATGGTCGTCTAGTTAAAATTGCAGTGTCTACAGCCACAAGTGTTGGAGGCATTGTCTTCTTTGCGTTGGTAATACTTCTTATTTACAGATCCAGGAGATCTGAAAAGGAAAAAGAAACTCAACTGAAAATAGAGAAGTTCCTCGAAGACTATAAGACCCTCACCCTGACCAGATATACTTACAGTGACCTAAAGAAAATAACAGGAAAATTTAAGCACAGGCTAGGCCAAGGAGGTTATGGAAGTGTCTTCAAAGGAGAACTCGCCAATGGAATTCCAGTTGCTGTTAAGATGTTGGAACATTCAACAGTAAATGAAGAATTTATCAATGAAGTTGCTACTATAGGTAGGATTCACCATTTTAACACTGTTCGTCTTTTGGGATTTTATTTAGAAGGGGTTCGGCGTGCTCTTATTTACGAGTTCATGCCTAATGGATCACTTGAGAAGTTCATATTCTCAAGTATAAACAATTCAAGTCAATGTCAATTGAGTTGGGAAAAGTTGCGAGAGATTGCAATTGGTGTTGCTTGGGGAGTAGAGTACTTGCACCAAGGATGCAACCAAAGGATCCTTCACTTCGACATCAAGCCTCACAAGATATTACTTGACCATAATTTTCAGGCAAAGATTTCAGATTTTGGGCTGGCCAAACTATGCTCAAAGGAACAAAGTGTAGTATCAATGACAGCTACTCGAGGAACTGCTGGTTATATTGCCCCAGAGCTCTTCTCTAGGAACTTTTGAGAGGTTTCTTATAAGTCTGATGTTTTTAGCTACAGAATGGTGTTATTAGAGATGGTTGGATGCCGAAAGAATATTGATCATTCTATTGAAAATCAAAGCCAAATTTACTTCCCTGAGTGGATATATAATAAAATGAGCCAAGGAAACGAGGTTGCTTTAGAAATTGAGGTAGATGGAGATGAGAAAATTGCCAAGCAGCTTGCAATTGTGGGACTCTGGTGCATCCAGTGGAACCCGGCGGAGAGGCCTTCCATGTCAATGGTATTACAAATGCTAGAAGGTGACTTCAAGAGCTTGGAGATTCCTCCAAAGCCCTTCGTTTCTTCAGATGAGGAAATGGATGGAAATTGATCTTGTATAATGACATAAAATTTGTAATGTTTAATTAACTTGTTTCAAATACTTCCCCAGCATAAATAAATTCATTCTCCTTATAACACTGCTAAAACTTCTACTCTTTAGAAAGCAAATGTGGGACTCTGTTGCCAAGGGGACATTCTTTCTTTCAGAAATTAAGGTAGATGGATATGAGGAAATTAAATTTTTAATCAAGTTTTCTTTAATTTGTAATAATTTTTAATAATTTCATGCAGGCATCACAACAACAAACCTCATAACAAAAATTCAAGGTAAAGAAATGAAGATACCTATGTTTAGCATACATAGGACTCGGGAACTGAAATATTCAATAACAACCTCACGTACATTTCGTCGGTGAATTGAAAGTTTTGATTTATTTAACGTAGATTGGCAAACAATACAACAATATAAATAGGCAGTAGTAGTACTTGTGTTTATATAAAAAGTTAGCTCCCAATAATCTTTAACCATTATCAAATAGAAAGAAGATGTCGAACTTGAAGAGGGTGGTGATTGAACGAAATAGAGAAGCAACAGGAACAAAATAATAATAGTTAAACAAAACAAACAGTAAACAAAGAATGTAATACGCGCGATTTACCCTGGTTCACCCAATGTAGGCTACGTCCAGCTGAGTCAATATTATTGCAATATGCCTCACCTCTCTCGTTTACAATGAATGAATTGTTCTCACACACATAACAAGAGAAAAGAATGTTTATATACTAGGTTTAAGGGATTAAACCTAGTTTTACAAGAATTCCTATTCCTAAGCCCAACCCAAAAAGGAATTAATAACTTAAAAGGAATCCTACAGCGGTTATACATGGAAAAGCCCATTAATGCTGAAGTAGTCGACAACTCCAACATTCTCCCACTTGGCGAATACTTCACACAATGAAGGCCTACCTCATTAACACACCATGTAAACTTTGCTAAGCTCATAGCCTTGGTAAGAAAATCTGCAGCATTAACAAGTGTATCAACCTTCTCTAACAACACCAATTTTTCCTCCACCGTTTGCCTGTGAATGGTATTGGTATTCAATGTTTTTGATCGCGGAATGAAAAGCAGTTCTTGGCTAAATAAATAGTCCCTTGATTGTCACATCCAATCTTCACAGCATCAAGCTTGAAACCAAGCTCTAAACTCAATCTTCGAAGCCACATAGCTTCCTTCCAGCATGTGTCAATGCCATGTATTCTGCCTCAGTCGATGACAAAGCCACAGTACTTTGCCTTTTACTCATCCAACAAACAGCAGCACCAAATAAAGAGAATAGATACCCACTTGTGGAACGCCTACTATCGAGATCACCTCCCCAATCAGAATCCACAAAACCTATCACATCAGCTCACCCCAGTCGCCATGCCTCCATAACATAATGATAATCCGAGGTCCCACGAAGATATCTAGAACCCTCTTTACACACATCCAATGCTCCTTACCAGGATTTGACATAAAGCGACTCAAAACTCCCACTGCTTGTGCAATATCGGGTCGCGTGCACACCATGGCATACATCAAACTACCTACAACACTCGCATATGGCACATGTGTATTTCTTCAGCATCTCCTCAGACTTAGGACACTGATCGTAGACAATTTCACTCCAAAGTCATAGGAGTTTCACAGGTTTTGCAGTCTACCATGTAAATTTCTTCACCACCTCCTCGATGTACTTTCTCTGCCCTAACCACATTTACAACTCTGACGATCTCTATTAATTTGCATACCCAAAATAAAATTTGCAGCCCCAAGATCCTTCATGTCAAATTGTGCAGCCAACAAACCCTTCACCAGAATTTATCAACTCCTTGCTATTCCCTATCAGCAACATATCATCTACATAAAGGTTAAATAACAAAACATTTTCTAACCTTTTTACATACACACAGTGATCCCCGTTGCTGCGGCTAAAACCATGCTAAGAACATAGGGTCGAACTTTTGGTACCACATCCTTGGTGATTGTTTAAGCCCATACAGAGACTTCTTCAACCTACACACCAAGTCTTCCTTCCCTTTACATACAAACCCCTCAGGTTGCCTCATGTAAATTTCCTCCTCTAATCTCCATGTAGAATGCCGTCTTTACATCAAGTTGTTCATTTCAAGATCAAACGCAGCAGCAATAGATAGAACATACCTGTTGATGTTAACTTGGCCACAGGAGAGAAATCTCACCATAATCAACACCCTCAATCTGCGAGAATCCCTTTGCAACGAGTCTCGCCTTGTACTTTGCAATTGTCCCATCTGCCTGCACCTTTCTTTTGAACACCCACTTGCAACCAATTGCCTTTCTATCTTTAGGCAATTTACATAGGATCCATGTATTATTCTTGTCCAGTGACTGCATCTCATCATTCATCGCAACCTCCCATAGATTTGCATCTTCCATGGCTCTTGCTTCATTTACATTCCTAGTTCATCACCAATCACATTCAAAGCATGTAATCCCACTCAATGCACTTAGAGAGAAACGAACTGGTGCCTTTCTAACTCTTGTAGATCTCCTCAAAGTTGATGGCACCACAACTTCATCATCAGAATCATCCTCAAATCATCCACAAAACCCTCATCAGCCACACTATCAGTTTATCTTCATGGTCAGATTCTATAGACTCTAAATTTTCAGTCTCTGCAGCAACATTTGGAGTCATCTCCTCCTCTTGCTCTACTGTAGTCACATCAAACTGAATTTTCTTTGACTGCTCAAGATCTTCAAGAGTTCCCACACGTTGTTTTACCTCTCTAAAGATTCATCTCTGCTGTATATATGCTTCTACTCACAGGATTCCACAACTTGTATCCCTTGATGCCATCCTTGAACCCCACAAACTTGCACTTCTCAGATTTACTGTCAAGCTTGCTCTTCTCTCTCCTTGGTACATGCACATACGCATCACAACCAAAAACTCGAATAAAAGACAGATTAGGTTTCTTACCATACAAAGCTTCATAGGCGTCATGTCTTTACAGAAGAGTGGGAGACCGATTCTTCAAATAACAAGCCATCGCTGTAGCTTCTGCCCAAAATTCAGACCCCAAATCTGTCGTATTCAGCATGCATCTAGCCTTCTCTAACAGTGACCGATTGAGACGTTCAGCCACTCCCATTTTGTTGAGGCGTGTAAGTGTAGTTTTTCCTGCCTTGCAATTCCATGTGTCGCACAAAATTGCTCAAACTTACCAGAGCAAAACTCACCGCCATTATCAGTTCGCAAAGCTTTAATCTTCCTGTCAAACTGATTCTCAACTAAGGCTTTAATTCCCGAAATTTCTCAAAAGCCTCAGACTTGCTGCGCATAATAAACCCAACAGTATCTAGAAATCATCAATAAAAGATACATAATACCTGGATTTACCAACAGATTCCACTGGAGTGGGCCCAAAACGTCACTATGATTAACTCCAGTATATTTGTTGCTCTCGTGCCTGTCGATTGAAAACTAACCCGATTCTGCTTGCCTTGTAACATTCCTCGCAAAACCCAAAACTCATGGAACAGTTAGGAATACCATAAGCCATATTCTGAGTCACCAGATTAGAACAAGCCGACTCTCCAATGTGTCCCATTCGCGGATGCCACAATGTTGCAGAATCAATTTCTTTTTCAGCCTCCTTTTCCGAAACTAACCACCCAAAGAAGAATTTCTTACAACTGATGCTTGCAGCCTGTATAGTGTACCATGTCGAACTCCTCGTGCAATAACCATAGATCCCCGAGTCATCTTACAGGATGTTCTGTCACAATTAATACTATACCTGCGTCAGCCATTGTTCCAACAGAGAGCAGATTTCTACTCATACCAGGGATGTGCATCACTTCAGGGAGCGTCCTCACTGAGCCATCATGCAACCTCAGCCTGATTTTCCGCGGCCAATAATCTTCACAGCATTATCATCTCCTAACAGAACGTTTCCTCCATTGTATGTCTCATACTCACAAAACCATTCCTTGTGAGGTGTCATATGGAACGATGCACCAGTATCAACATACCAAACCGTTGGTCTGATCCAGCCATACATGCACAGCCACATACATATCACCATTTGTTCCCGTTTGTACGAAGTTTCAGCTTCCTTCCCTTCACTGGTTTGTTTCTGCAGTCTTTCTTAAAATGCCCAAATTCCTGACATCTCCAGCATTTAATCTTACTTTTATCCTTGCTCTTAGATCTTCCTCGCGACTTTCCCCTGTCGCCAGACTTATTTGAATTCCTATCAAGGTTTCGTCCCCTAGCAGTTAAAGCATCCCTAGACGAACCCTCTGAACCTCTTCGCCGCATATCCTCTGCCAGCAATGTAGAACATACAGATTCCCATGACATCTGTGTCAATCCTCCACCACCATCGCAACAATCAGATTGTCCCACGTATCAGGCAGCGAGCATAACAATGTTACCACTTTCTCAGATTCGGTGAGTTGTACATCCACAGCCAGCATTTGATTCACCAGAGTATTAAACTCATCCAGATGTGCAGCAACAGAATCCCCATCATGCATACGGAGATTGTAAAGTTTCTTGCCGGAACAGCACGTTCACCAAAGACTTACTCAGATACATATTTTCCAGTTTCTCGCCATAAACCCTTAGCCGTATCCTGATCCATCACGTTCGTTAGAACAGAGTCCTCAAGACAGATGCGAATCAAACCTCTGGCTTTCCATCCTCTTGTCCCATTCAGCAAGTGCGGCACGATCCGTCGCTGATAATTCTCCTCCAGCAGGATTAGACCCAAGCGTGCTTGACAATCCAGTTTCAGACGTTTCACTCGTTGTACCAACGCAGTCCCGACTGTCGGCCTATCATTCACAATTGCACCCCACAGGTCCCTATCAACGAGTAGATCCTCCATCCGCAGTTTCCAGAGCTCGAAGCGTTTGCCGTCGAACTTCTCAATCTCAACCTTTGACCCCGTCATCTCTAAATCACGATCTAACAAAACCTTGCTCTAATACCAATTGAACGAATAGAGAAGCAA